ATCAGATGAAATCAAAGATGCTCGTAATTCATGGTTCGGCCCTGTCGATACAGTTTGTAATTTATATATTATGGAAGATTAACATTCTTTAATTGATTCTTCCAGGACATCTGTTGATTGTATGTATAATACAGTGTAATTATAAATGATCTCCTGATTCTTTTAGGTTTATTGATTTGATATTTGCTGAATTTGATGGGTTATTCTGGTTACTTGTGTTTTCTTTAAGAAAACCATATCTAGCTCGCAGTATTGTGTGTAGTGCTTTCAATCATACATCTATTTTTTTCTGGAACAAGCAGTTGAAACAGCAAGTTTGAGAGCATTAAAGGTATGAAGTTAACGATGCCAACGAGATGCATATAGCAAGGACCAGTGCATACTTGAAGGAGTCGAGTCGAGAAGAAAATCTCCAATCCAAGCTTCCCCGACTTAGCATATGCAAAGATCAACACAGCTCATTTTAGCCAAACGCGCATTAAAGGTCATGAAGTTCATCTCGTTCCTTACTACTTTTCTTTTATCTTTCAATTTCGAGTAGCTAAGTCTTTAAAGGTTTGGCTCATGGTAAACTCTACTTCGTGATGCTCTTTATTTGAAAAACGTGCATGAAGGATTTCTCGACCTCTTCTTAGTTATTTTCTTCTTGCATTGCTTCATTTCATATGGTCAACCAAAGTGAAGTATCAGCATACATATAGCATTGAAAGGATTAGAGCATGCGAGTTGTAGTAATGTCTACTCGAGTGTTTTAGACGTAAAACAACCACTTCTAAATCAGGAATAGGTCGGTACATGACTCGGTTTCATTGCATGCATACATGCAATGACGTCGTAAGCTTAACACCGATTGGTTCATACATGTGACCTTGGTGCCTTTATTTTGTAAACTCAAAACCCTTTGATCACAGAACATGTTTCCCATTTCATACAGATGCCAAGGGAAGATCCCCATATCATTCAGGTTTCTTTTGATTTTTCTTTAATTTCTTGAGTCAATGATTCTCTTAGTCTTTGTTGATCAATTTTGATTTCTTCTCTAATTATGTAGGGTTGGTTCTTTGTAGTTTCCTTGCAAACACTATTCTTTGTAATGTTAGGTTTCGGACGTATCAAAGGGAGGACAATTGTGATCCGGGGTCGGCTCAATTATTTCGTTAGAATGTTCGATAAAAATAAAATATTTGAGGTCTCACCGAATTGGCATCAAAGAGCAGCCAGACTCATAATTATCATCCATCTAAAAAAGAAAAAAATTAAATTATATCTCTAAACTTTTAAGTTTATATCAATAAATTCTTAAACGAGTAGTTTTATTAATTTCAAAATGACTTGAATAAAATTACTCCCTCTTAAAATTTCACCAAATAACCACTAATATTAATCATAATTGTTATTATTTATTTGATTTTAGCATTTTTTTTCCTAATATTATTTCAACAAAGAGTTTAAACTAATAAAATTTAATGTTTTAATAAAAATCGTTATAAAAATATTTTTTTTTTGTGGATTAGGAGAATTTCATTATATATAATTTTTATAATTTATGAATTCAATTATTTTTAGATCTTATACACATTTAGATTATAAAATGGGTATTTGAAGAATAATTCGTTTCATTTTTTTAAAAAAAAATTGATATTTTTTCTTTGACTAAAATAAGAAAAAACTATTTTCCAATGGGTAGGTATTAACTTTATTAAATATCCAACTTTGTTTAAAGAATATTGTATAATATTTTAATAAGTTCAAGTTAGCTATTAAATTAGTTAAATTGTTAATCTATGAATTATAATCCAATAATTATTAATTGTATTTAAAAGTCTAATTTAAGTTTCATAGTTTTTAAAATTGACTTCTATTAAAAATTAGAAAAAAAAAATAAAGTAATTATCACGACTTTGAAAAATGACCGAATATGGTCAATGATACCTTAAAAATTGACCCAAAAATATGTTAAATTTTCACGTAACTCAGTTTTTTTTACCACTAAGTCTTATTTTACATTTTGAATTGCAAAGTAAATAAATAAATATTTTAAGGAGGTCTTTCTAAAATTCCCAAAAAAAATGCCAACATAACTTTCTTAATAAAATAATAATAATAATGATAAATAAATAAATGCCTCATCAATCAATGGAATATTCAAACACACAAAAAAAAAAAAATAATAATAATAATAAAATAGTTTTGAATTTTATTTTGAATTATTTAATTTATTATATCTTAAATTTATATAAACTTACTTTGTCAATTAATTAGATCTGATACATTTTGTAAAAATAAGTTTATAAAAGTTTTAATAAACCAGTAAAAAAAAATTAAAAAATCTTATTAAAATTTCAAAAAAAAAAAAAACAAATTTTTTAATTTAAATCTTATATAAAAAAGAAAGCTACGAATAATCAAACACAACATAAAAAATAAATATCTCAATTAAATCATAAATTGTTTATATATATATATATATATATATATATTTATTTATTTATTGTAACCTAACTAGTTAGGTTATGGTGTTTGAAAATTTTAATTTCAAATTTAAATTATAATACTGAAAAAAGAAAAAGAAAAAGAAAATAAATTAGAATTATGTATATTTAAAATATTAAAAAAAAAAAAGGTTAAAAAAGAATTGAAATGTCCGCATCTTTCCAGATACTATCATTTTACCTAATTTGAAGAATTTGTCTTTTCCTGTCACATCAATATATTTATTTATTATTTATTCAAAATACCAAATTAATGCATTTCTAGAATCCCTAAATTAATTGGGTTTTGGATTTTATTTTCGACCTTCTACCATTATACATATATATTTATATAATAAAGGGAAAATTAGGTTAGTGATCCAAAATTCCGGTTGCCTAATCATGCTAGGATTCTCTTAAATATGTAAAGTTCTACCGGTTGATTAAATAGGGTCGGGATTTGTCTTACTCAAGTGAATTCGACCCGATTCACTGCCTACGTGCCTTTTACGCTAGACAATTCGAAGAACACTGGCCCCCTGTCTCATTGCGATTGTTGGCACGAAGTTAGTCGAAGTGCGCATACAATAAAAGAGCTTTACGAACAGTATTGCTCTTCTTCATTCACGCGATATTGCTGGAACGGGCTTTTGCCCATTATACAAGATTCTCCACTGTTGCCACTGGAGAACGAGTATTCAATGGGTATGAATCCAGATATTTACCTTAAATAATTTGTTTGAAATTAATATTTTTAAAAATATCTATAAAAAAGATTCTTCGAGAAACCCGATCCGTTCAAACATATTTGAGGGGATATTGCTGAAATTGGTGGTGGGGACCGGGGTCCTCGTCTCGCTCTCTACGCACGTCTTATTAAAAAAAAAACTCAAATCACATTAGTTAATGATGTCGTTGATTATACAATAAAATATATATATATATATATATATATATATATATAATTTAGCCCTAATTTGGTCACTACCTTTTGATTGAATTTGATGAACTGGTTTTCAAATGCTTGGTTAATAAGCATGTGCATGTTCGGTAGGTTTCATTGACTAATCATCCACCGTCCAGATCCTGCCACGTGTAATTTCACAATAAGCCGTTGCTTCACGTTTCTGAAGAAAGCAAAATGACCAAAATGGACTTCCTTTTTCTGCCGCCTTCCAAAAAAAAAAAAACGAAAAAAAAGTCAAAAACCACGGACTTCATTTATTTATTTAATTTTAGTTGTTTTCTAGTTAGATCCATATATTATTTAATTCATATTTAACATTTAATGATCTCGACCTTCCCTTATTTCTCATATGATATGATCAAATTGCTTCACAGATCAGCACGAGTCTTTTTAATATGTTTTGTCTTCACTTTGAAAATTCTTAGAATGTCACTTAACATAAAATTACTTCAAGCAAAATATGCTTACCTGTGCAGTTATTAAGATTTCGCAAGTGAAAAGGAAGGTACATCTTGTTAGTATAGATAGTGATTTCTAACTCTTTTAAGTCTTTTATTAGTCATCTTATACTTGCTTTAATTCGGATGTGGTCTCAATTCATTTATGTACCTCGTTGTTACTCGGGTATCGCAATATAGTTTTTTTTAGCTTTACGTAAATTGTTGAGGATTATTAGGAGTAAGTCCCACATTGGTTAATTTAGTGAAAGATCATGGGTTTATAAGTGAGGAATACTATCTACATTGGTATGAGGCCTTTCGGGGGAAGCTTAAAGCAAAGTCATGAGAGCTTATACTCAAAGTAGATAACGGTGTTTAAAAGTAAAATTTAAGGGCAGTAAAAAGTATGGAGGAGAAAAAATGGTGTATTTAGAGGTTGAAATTGAAAAAGAAAATAGCTGAAAATGACTTCAATTTTTTGTCAAAAAAAAAAAGGGTATTTATTTAATCTCTTCACATTAATTAATTATTATTATTCTTTTTGATAAACCTTGACGTGACAATCATAATATAAGATATAATATATAAATAATATTGGTCGTTTTCTTGTCTAATTTTAGTTTATTTAGTTATTTATCACATCACCTTAATTTAGCTAAATTTTATTTAGTTTTTTTTAATAAATTATTAAAAAAGCATCCACAAAGAATATATTTGGAGACGAAATTGAAGAATTTTTTAGAACGTAATAATACAATTTTTAATTTTTAAAATATATTTATAAAAAAATCAAAGAAAGTAGTCTTCTAATATTTTCACAAAAATTATATATATATAATATATTTCAAAACATGTACATTCCAAAATCAAACTTCATCTAGAATCAAAATTTTAAATAATAATAATAATAAATAAATAAATAAAATTGAATTGAGAATGATTGTTTTGTCTTATTTATTTAAAGTGAAAAAAAATAATAAAAAAAAATAAAAAATTCTTTAAAAGAAAAAGAATTTCAATTTCAATTTCTTCATAATATTAAATTTATTCTTTAAGGCCATCATTTTCCTTCTAGAAGCTCCTTTGCATGTTCATTCCTTTCACAAGTTGCCTTTTCCAATATTATATATATATACATACATATTATTTTTCTTTTTTAAAAAACCCCCCTCTTTTTACACCAACTTTACAAGATGACCCACAAAATTATTTATAATCTCAAGGGCAGCCCATTTTTTTTGTTCAACTTTGAAGGCTTTGCTTTATATAAATAAGCCTTAAGCACACCACACCCTCCATTTGTTAATACTGTAATACAAAGAAAACTTCTCTTCCTCTTTCTCTTTCTCTTTCTCTTTCTCCCCTTCCTTTTCCCTCCCATTTTATCATTATGCTCTTCAACTTCCATCCTCACTATTTTGCTCGTGATCACATCGATGATTTTTCATCTTACTTGCTCTTCGAGGCATCTGGTGACTCGGAGGTCGACTCTCTGGCTGACCTTGAAGGCTCGACTGCCGCCCTGAATTTGGTGGAGTTTAACGATGCTAAATCTTGCACGAAGGTGGAGTTTGACGATGCTGAATCTTGCACGGATGATACTCTTGATTTGTATGATGAATTTTTGAGAGATGAAAATGAGAGTGAAGCAGAGGAGGACGAGGACGAGGACGAGGAGATGTTTGAGAATGATGGGGTGGTGGAAAGCAAGGCAATTGGATTCACAACAAGCTCAAGTGCTTCAATTGATTCAACTAAGGAGTTCAAAATGCTTAATGATGTGGAAAAAAACAGGTTGTTTTGGGAGACTTGTTTGGCATCATAGCATCTCCCTAATTATTATTATTTTTTGGTTATATTTTATGAGGCCATTTTTCTACCTTCCTTTCTTCCAATGTTGTTGAAAGGCTTGTTCTATAAAGTAAACAAACCAAAACTTTTGGTTTTTCTAAGTGTGTTCTTTTTCTTTTTTTTCTGGGCTCATTTGGATTGAACACTCAGAAAAAGGGTAAAATTCATCTTCCTTCCTTCCTTTCTCCTTTGATTGTGCTTGGTTGGTGGCCGTCCTAGTTTGAATTCATCATTAAAATTTGACCTTGTTATATCAAAGTAGCTCAAAATCTTGAGAGTATTTCAGGAGAGGAGAACAAAACATTCCTTGTTAAGGTGTAAAATCCTCTCCCTAGCATACGTGTTTTAAAATTGTGAGGTTGATGATAATACGTAACGGGCCAAAGCAGACAATATCTACTAGTGTGGGCTTGCTGTTATAGTGGTATCAGAGCTAGACTCGGACGGTGGGCCAGCGAGGACGCTGGCCCCCAAGGGAATGTGGATTGTGAGATCTCACATCAGTTAGAGAGGGGAGCAAAACATTCCTTAAAAAAGTGTGGAAACCTCTTCCTAGCAGACACGTTTTAACACCCAAGGAAAATCCAAAGAGGATAACGTGTGCTTGGAGTTTGGTAACATTAAGATATCCCTTTGCTCTTTAGCACACTGGGTTAACGGCCGTTTTCAACGGTTGTAAAAGCAATTCAGCTTGAACCCGGATCGTTTCGTGCCTAAAGTTATCTAGAGATTATGAACGGTTGTAAAAGCAATTCAGCTTGAACCCGGATCGTTTCGTGCCTAAAGTTATCTAGAGATTATGGAGTTTGGTAACATTAAGATAGCTTGAACCCGGATCGTTTCGTGCCTAAAGTTATCTAGAGATTATGGAGTTTGGTAACATTAAGATATCACTGAAACTGTAATTGCATCTAACAAGCTTACACAGTTCCATGAACCAGAGATTTTCAAGGTTAAGTTCGTTTAAGCTAAACGGTTGTAAAAGCAATTCAGCTTGAACCCGGATCGTTTCGTGCCTAAAGTTATCTAGAGATTATGAACGGTTGTAAAAGCAATTCAGCTTGAACCCGGATCGTTTCGTGCCTAAAGTTATCTAGAGATTATGGAGTTTGGTAACATTAAGATAGCTTGAACCCGGATCGTTTCGTGCCTAAAGTTATCTAGAGATTATGGAGTTTGGTAACATTAAGATATCACTGAAACTGTAATTGCATCTAACAAGCTTACACAGTTCCATGAACCAGAGATTTTCGAGGTTAAGTTCGTTTAAGTTACAGAAGCATCACTTTGAACTACTGCAAAGAAATGAACATCAGAAGGATTGTCATCATCGGCCGTGAGAGCTGTTAGACACAACGACTAGATCTATTGTGAGTTTCTTAAAGTGATCGATTCTTTTAAACTAATCAATTAGCTAGGTAGAAAGATATTCTAGCAGCTCAAACCCACCGCTAATTGATATTGTAATGTTTGAGCTTTCCCTTCAAGGTTTTTAAAACGCGTCTACTAGAAAGAGGTTTCCACACCTTTATAAAAAATGTTTCGTTCTTCTCTCCGACCGACGTGCATCTCATAGGTACCATCTCATCCACCACAAGTACCTCTAAATACTTTCATAATTCAAATTCTACCTTGTAGTCATATTATCTAACTAAGAATTTCTGGAAATCATATTAAGAACTAATCATTTTCTAGAGGTTCAAGATCTATCAAACTAGACAGCAGAAGCAATTCATTAACCACTCTATAAACTTCTAAAGAATGAGGATGAGAATTATCAGCAACTAAGAATTCATGAAACGTACCTCCAACCTCTATCAAGCTATGCCCAGGAACCTTCTTGACTCCTCTTTCTCTCATCATCCTTCTCACCATTCTCACATCGTTCCATCTCTTCCCATCAGCACAAATATTCGCCAAAAGAGTATAAATCCCACTGTCCTCAGGATCCAATTCCAAAAGCTTCCCAGCTGCTAACTTAGCCATTTCCACATTCCCCTGCTTCCTACAAGCATCAAGCAAAGCTCCCCAAGCCCCTTCACTTGCTTTGATCGGCATCTTCGATATTAGCTCGTAAGCTTCTTTTAACAACCCAACTCGACTAAACAAATCCACCATACAAGCGTAGTGTTCCCTCTTTGGCTCTATTCCAAAGGTATTCTCCATGCTTTCGAAATGCTCCCGACCTTTCGAAACAAACCCACCGTAACTGCAAGCTGATAGAACGCCGATGAAGGTGATGTGATCTGGTTTTAGTCCCGAGTGTTTCATTTGATCGAACAGAGTGAGAGCTCTCTTGGCATGGCCATGAGATGCATATGCAGATATCATTGTGTTCCAAGAAACTAGATTTTTCTCGGGAATGGAGTGGAAGAGCTTTGCAGCTGCATCAATGCTCCCACATTTGGCATACATGTCCATAACTGCATTGTTCAGAATCAAACTCAATTGAATTCCCATTTTATTGACATGGTTGTCGTGAATCCATTTGCCCATTTCTAAGCATCCCAATTGGCCACAAGCAGAAAGCACACAGACCAAAGTGTCCTCGGTTGGAACCAATCCGACAACATCCACCATGTTGTGAAATAGCTTCAAAGCTTCCATTGGCTGACTGTTTTGGGAATAACCAGCAATCATAGCATTCCAAGAGACAATATTTCTCTCAGGCATTTCATCAAACACCTTCCTTGCAGCTTCCAAATCTCCATTTTTAGCAAGTCCATTAAGCAAGCTAGTCCAAGAAAAAACATCCCTTCTTTCCATGTTGTCAAAAATCTCTCTAGCAGTTACTAAACAGCCACATTTCACATACATATCCAACATGGTATTGACCAAATTAACACTGGAGCTTATGTTCTTCCTTTTTATGAGTTCATGAAGTGACCTCCCCATTACATAATCTCCCTTCTGCGAGCAAGCAGAAAGCAAAGCAATCATAGTGACCTCATTCGGCTCAACGTTACTCGACGACATCAAATCAAATAACATTATAGCCTCATCCAAACAATTGTTCGTTGTGTACCCATTGATCATCGTCGTCCAAGTAACAACATCCTTCACAGAACTTTCATCAAACACTTGGCGTGCAAAACCAATACACCCAATTTCAACATAGTACTGTATCAATCCATTTTGGACCAGCAATTCAGAACCAAACCCCAACTTCCAAACCACAGAATGCACCGCCATTCTTACTGCTTTCCCGGCAAATTGGCCGCACACCTTGAGCGCGGAAACAAAGCTCCCACAGTCCAATTCGACGCGATTCCGAATCATTTGCCGGAAAAACAAGAACCCCATTGAAGGGCATTTAGCTCTGCAATAACCCTTAATCATCGTATTCCACAAAAAGCAATTAGGGTTTTCAATTTGAGCGAAAACGAGATGGGCATAATGAATGTCACCGGCATCGGAGAGAGCACAAAAGGCTACGACGCGGCTGGCCGGGAAGATTTGGTTCATGAGGCCAGTGCAAGTCATGTGAGCTTGAATTTGCTTCAAATGAAACATGGAAGAGCATGATTGTAGGATCAGAAGAGTTGGGTTGGTAATGAAGACATTGGTGAGTGAATTCCATTTGGGTTTTCCGGCGGCTGCCGATGATGAGAGTGGTCGGAAAGAATGGAGGATTTTGAAGGTGAGTTTGAACGGGAAGATTGAAAATCGAGATGGGTTTTGAACGGAAGAGAAGAGGGGTTTCATTCATACGGAGATTCGTGCATTAAAGCTCGAGGAAGTGGAGTTCAGTATGAACATCAACAACTTGGATAAGCCCCCTACAAAAAATTAAAGTAATAAATAATTCGAGTCGGTACCAACATGATTCAAAGAATAAGACATTTGTTATTAATTTAAATGTCGATATTTCGATCTCCACTCGTATTGGAACGAGAAAATAATGTGAAAATCCAATTAAAAATAATTCGAAAATAACTCATTAAAGTGGAAGGTACATTGAACACACAAGCCTACAAAATTGACCATTTTCCAATTCCACCATATCATGAGAACAATCCTAATATAATTTAATACAAATAATAAATGCAGGGAGAATATTTTCAATTACATGAAGTAAACATATACGTTGGATAAGGATTTAAAATAAAAATACCTAAAAAAAGGCAGATGGATATATTCACTAAGTAGAAATAATTATTTAAATTAATAATCAAGTTCATTTTCATAGTGAATGAAGAACTTAGGAAATTACACATATATATAAATAAGTTTTCTTCTAAAATTTATTTAATTTTTCAACTTTAGTGCATCCTCCCACGAGGGAATATATCATAAAGATACAAATCTTATTTTATCATTAGCTGAGTAGAATAGTACGAGAGACTGGAGGTATTCATATAACTTTATGTATCGTCATCAACCTCACAGTTTTAAAACGTGTCTACTAAAGAGAGGTTTCAACACCCTTATAAGACATGCTTTAAGGCTCAGCGTGAGATCTTTATTCATACAACCTTATGTATCGTCATCAACCTCACGGTTTTAAAACGTGTCTACTAAGGACTACTAAGGAGAGGTTTCAACACCCTTATAAGACATGCCTTAAGGCTCAGCGTGAGATCTACAACCGATGTGGGATATCACAATCCACCTTCCTTAAGGGGCCAGCATCATTGCTGGCATATCGCCCGCTGTGATACCATTTGTAATAGTCAAAGACCATAACTAGCAGATATTATCCGCTTTAACCCCGTTACATATCACTGTCAGCCTCATGATTTTAAAATGCGTTGCTAATGTGAGGTTTCCACTTATATTGTCCAGTTTGAGCATAAGAGGTCATGGATTTGCTTTGGGCTTCCCGAAAAGGCGTTTCCACTATTTGGAATCATGGATCTCTACAATGATATGATATTGTCGAGTTTGAGCATAAGAGTTTATGGATATGCTTTGGGCTTCTCCAAGAGGCTTCATATCAATGGAGACAGTATTCCTCACTTATAAATCAATCATTATTCCCTAAATTAGCCAAGGTAGGACTCACTCTCAATAATTCTCAACATCCACACTCCAGGAATGCTCTATTTCTCTTTTCAACCAATGTAGGATCTCACAAATTCAAGTCACCCAACCCAAATGACATTTCAAGTTGACTCAGACAAAAAAAAAAAAAAAATTAATAATCTACGAGAGCATTAGATTTTTGAATATATAAATCTCAAACCAAAACCACTCCCGTTATATTAGGGCACTATAAATTAAGAAACCAACTTGATGTGCCCTCTATAATATTTAAAAACATAGAAAATTATTTCCAAATACCGTTTAATACAAATTTCAACCTCTAATTTGGTAATTTACCAATCATTATACAAAACAAGACCCATCCTATTGTCCTGTTTTCAGAACGAAGAACACTATTAAAAAATTCAACACAAAAATAAATTAATAATAAAGAAAAGTCTTAATCCTTGTCCTATCAGATGAGACCCAGACCACCCACCATGCCATAATTTAATCATGCTTCTTCTAATCAACAATCTGAGTCTTTATGAATCGTTCCCGTTCATTTGAACAGTCAAAGATCAGAAAAGAAAGAAATGAAGAGAGAAATTGTTTTTGTTCAGATGAATGTTCATACCTGGGGTTTCTTCCATTGATTTTTCTTGTTCTTGATGTTCTTCCATTGGCTTAGGATTTCTGTGATTTTTCTTGTTCTTGATGTTCTTCCATTGGCTTGGGATTTCTGAGATTTTCCCGAGAAAATTTTATCTCTCCTGCAGGAAAAAAAATGGACAGATTAGTGAAGCCTGATGTGAAGGAAGTGGAATTTTTTTTCACGAAAGGAGAAAAGTGTAGCGCAAGTTTCACACTCGCAAATCTGATGCACACCATGTCTGTTGCAGTTTGTTTAACTTCATCGAATCCATCTGTTTTTTCGTTTTCGCAAGATTTCTCTGTGATTCCGCCGCTTTCTTCTTCTTCCTACACCATTTCCTGCAAGTCCTCCGACCAACCTCCTCTCAGTAATCCGTCGGACAAAATCTCCGTCCGATCCGCCATGGTTCCGATCGGAAATGCTCACACCGATGACCTCCGCCTCTTGTTCTCCAAACCTGGACGCCATATTTTCAAGGATGCTTTATTGCTCATCTCCTTCGTCGGTCCTGATGTCGTTGAATTCCTAATTTCGCACCATAATCGAATCACGGAGTTGAGTTTTCTTCTTAACAAAGCGATTTCTAGTTGTACGAAGTCTCAATTGACTGCGTTGATGGAACCGGCTATTTTGTCCGGGAAATTAGGGTTAGTTTCTGCTCTGATTGATGCTGGAGTAGACGTCAATGTCAAGGATTCTCTCAAACGGTCAATGATGTCGCTAGCTGTAAGGACAGGGAAGATCGATATCGTGAAGCGATTGATTGATTCGCACTGTCAAGTCGATTTCTCTGTCGATTTGGTCTTACACATAGCGGCATCGATGAACCGCGTCGATTTCATGGAGCTACTACTCAAAAATTTTCCCGACATACCAGTAAATTCCGTCGATTCCAACGGTCGTACTCCGATCCACACCGCGGCGGCTCGAGGTCACGTTGAGGCAATACGTTTCCTCCTTTCGATTGGCGGAAATCCAGAGGCGGTGGATCGGAACAAATGGACTCCGCTACATTCCGCCGCGGCGGAAGGACATTTCGAAGCCGTGGAGTATTTTCTAAACTGCTCAAACGTGAAATACGCGGTGAACTCCGACGGAAAAACAGCGTTCGCACTCGCATCGGAGAACGGACACACAGATTTATTCGATTCGTTGAGATTAGGCGACGCATTGCACAGAGCGGCGAGAGCCGGCGATGTTCGAGGTCTAAGAAGCTGCGTGGCGGCGGGAGCAAAAATAAACGGAAAGGACCAGAACGGATGGACGGCTCTGCACAGGGCAGCGTTCAAAGGCAGAGTCGAGTGCGTCAAGGCGCTGCTCGAGCACGGAGCGGATACGGACGCCGTCGACGACGCCGGATACACGCCGCTGCGGTGCGCCGTCGAGGCCGGGCAGGAGGAGGTGGCTCGGGTACTGCTGGCGAGTGGAGCGGAACCGAATCCGTTGAAATGTCTGAGAAGGGATTTGGCTGTCTCCGGTAGACAGATTTCATCTCTGTGCTGTGGAAACTGAGAAGATGAAGAAGATGAGATTGAAGGGCTGAACAAGACTGTTCTTCAATCTGATCTTCGCCGTTCTCCATTTTTTTTCCAATAATTTAGCCTTGTTTTTCAGTTCAATCTGTAAATTGAATTTGTAATTTTCCTCGAAGAAATTGAGGAAAATAAGCTTTGATTTTTGTAATTCCATGTACATAAACTCAAATAATCCACACACCTTAAATGGAGAGGAGATTCCAAATTTACATCGAGAATACCTTAAATGGAGAGGAGATTTCATATTTACACTTGGGAGGATGAGTGGAGAACATCAGTCCGGTTTCTTTTTTTTTAAGTTTAATATAAAAATATTTTTTAGCTAGATAAATATAACCGATGAAGATTATATTTTTCGTGTTTCTATCCCCGTCTCGTTTAATATAAATATTTTTCCACATATATTATTATTATTATTATTATATATATATTAAAAATTAAATTAAAATAATAAAAGTTAATTTTAAGATTTTAATGGTAATATTTAGATAAATGAGACATAAAAGGATTTTATTTTTCCGTCTATCTCTATCCCATTTAATATAAATATTAAAAAATAAATTAAAATAATAAAAGTTCATTTTGAAATTTTAATGGTAATATTTAAATATTTAAATTAAACATTTTTTTTATTTTATTAAATTTTGAGATTTTAAATTAAACATTTTTTAAATTTTATTAAAATTTGAGATTTTGATGGTAATGTTTCATAATTAAATATTTTTTTAATTTTTTAAATTTTGGTCAGTAAAAATTAAAATAATAAAAGTTAATTTTAAGATTTTAATGGTAATATTTAGATAAATGGGACCGAGAAAAGGATTGTATTTTTCGTCTATGTCTCCGTCCTATTTAATATAAATATTAAAAATTAAATTAAAATAATAATTCTGTCCCATTGAATATAAATTAAAAATTAAATTAAAATAGTAATATTTAAATTAAACATTTTTTTTAATTTTATTAAATTTGGTCGGTAGAAATCATATAACAGTGTAAGCTCCCATGCTTTGCTTTGTGCTCTTCGTCTATCAATAAGATAGTATTCTTCATTTATAAACTCATAATCGTTCTCTAAATTAGCCAATGTGGGACTTACTCCCAATAATCGTCAACATTAACAACTATTTTTATAAAAAGAATAATAAACTAAAAAAAAATTACAGAATCCCGAACTTTATAATTTTCAAATCGAATTTACACCTCGACTATAACCAAAGTAAATGAAAAACTTCACAAGAATGGAGAATGAAATAGGTGGCAGAGATGGAAACGAGAAGAGTTTTCCATTCCGCCCGACTCGTGGAAACCTCTAAATAGACTCGTTCAATGTTTTTTAGTCTCAATGACCAATGACACTAATAGATCGAGTAAACGTTTTATTAGTATTAATTATTTTGTTAGTGACGAGAGACGTTTTAAATCTATTTTTAAAAGTGAAAATTCAAATATTAAAATGGTATTTAAAATATAAAAAAAAACACGCGAAAAGTGTAATTTTCAAATCTTCTGCCCTCGTGGCGCCAAATTTTCAAAACGTTTAATTTAAAAGCGAAATAAATCCATTTTCCTCCACGCTGGCGATCCGCGTGAAAGCAAGTTCACCAATCACGGACTTTCATTTTTCACTATAAATTCAAACTACACCACCGCGGTCTCTTCATCACGCAAAAATCTTTTCGTCCAAATTAGTCTCTCCTCAATTTCGTTACGGTAAAGTAAATATGAGTTCCACCGATGTTCCGGCGAAGGGTGGCAGAGGCAAGAAATCTGCCGCCAAGTCCGTCACTAGGTCTCACAAGGCCGGTCTCCAATTCCCCGTCGGTCGTATCGCCAGGTACCTCAAGAAGGGCCGTTTTGCTCAGCGTGTCGGCTCCGGCTCACCGGTTTACCTCTCCGCCGTTCTCGAATACCTCGCTGCCGAGGTTTGTGAATTGCAATCGTTAATTTTACTTCCGAGTTCAATTTTCTCAGTTCTCAGTGTTCTGATTGTGGATTTTTGTTTTTCGTTTAGGTTTTGGAGTTGGCTGGCAATGCTGCGAGGGACAACAAGAAAACTAGAATCGTCCCGAGGCATATTCAACTAGCAGTGAGGAACGACGAGGAATTGAGCAAGCTTTTGGGATCAGTCACGATCGCCAGCGGAGGAGTGCTGCCGAAGATTCATCAGTCTCTTTTACCGAAGAAGGCCGGTAGTACGAAGGATAAGGCCGAGATCGGATCGGCGTCTCAGGAATTTTAGGTTGCATTAGAAATATCAGTCGATTAACAGAAAACGAAACAGTTAGGTTCTGTAAGATTGTTATTAGCTTCAATGAATCTTTCTTCATCAGGTTCGTAAATCTACGAAACGAGCTTCGGTTAGAAAGGTATCCGTCTTCGTCGCCGATAAATTCTATAGTATGTGTAAATGCTGATGAAGTTCACCACTAATTTGAATAGAAAGGAACCAGTTGAATTTTTATTGTCTCGCATTCTGTAAGTTCTGTTATCAGCTAAACAAGAACTGCAAATTCATTATTGACAGGATTATTTTTAAATGGTATATAAGTTGCGAATTCGTATATTTTCGTGTATATATAAATCTATTATTCTGGAACATTTGTACCTTAATCCTTTGAAATTCAATAGTTCTACTGTTCATCTCTGTGAATTTTCGCATTTCTATTGATCCGATCATCCGCCGGAAAATAACACAATACTTTGTTCATTTTTGTTTTGCTAAGGGCGAACACGGTTTCGTAGTGTCAGAGGGCCGGCCTTTAGTTGCCTGTTGGTGCTAGCGCACCTGTCTACCTCTCCGCTGCCTTTGAATATCCCGCCGCCGAGGTTAGAACTTCATCTTTCATTGTATCTTTTAACTTGTGTTTCCGATATGTTTATCTGGTAGTTGTTGCATTCGTTAGAGTGTTGTAGTGTAGTGTTATGATTGTTGGATGATGGAAGTCCCACATCGACTAATTTAGGGTGTGATCATGAGTTTATAAGTGAGGAATACTAACTCCATTGGTATGAGGCCTTTTGGGGAAGCCCAAAGCAAAGCCATGAGAGCTTATGCTCAAAGTGGACAATATCATACCATTGTGGAGAGTCGTGTTCGTCTAACAATGATCACTTGAATCGGAATTGGCGTCTTCGATTTAGTTTTGTTTCTTCTGCTTTTGCTTTGGATTCGATTGGGAGAAGGATCTTATTTGTTTCTCTTGGTAAATTGGCTGTTGCAGAAATTGTTTATGCGTTGGCCTCACATGAAATGATGTTACTTTACCATAATCGCATTCATAGTAGGAATCTTGAGCTTTGATGTCTGAATTCATTGCAGTTTATTCAGTTTTTCCAGGTGGATTTGTTCATGAAGTTACTAGATTATGTTGATTTCTTCATTGGATTAATGAAGTATTACATGGGTTCATCCCAACATTTTCATGAGATATGATGATGATTTGGTCTTACCTTCCAAGTAGCTTTATATACTTCAAATTTCCATTGGCAGGTGCTTGAGCTTGCAGACAATGCTACCAGAGACAACGAACGGCGAGGAGCTGACCATCTCTTGAGTGATGTGAACATTGCAAATGGAGTGTTGCCGAATATCCATCAAAACCTCTTGCCTAATATGGCGGGATCAGGCAAAAACAACATTGAATCTGCATCACAAGAGTTCTAAAAGTTTCTGATCATCAACAAATTTTGATACACGAGGTACGTAAGAGTGAAAAATGGTTGTGTGGTTTCATTGCCTTGGTTTGAAATCTGTTTAAATTTTATGAACCACACAAGACGGTTCTCTAAGATCCCACGTCGATTGAGAAGGGGAATGAAGCATTCCTTATAAGGGTGTGGAAACCTTTCCTTAGTAGATGGGTTTTAAAATTGTGAGACTGACAGCAATACGTAATGTGTGAAAATGGATAGTATTTGCTAGTGGTGAGCTTGAGCTGTTACAAATGGTACTAGAGCCATACACCAAGTAGTGCACCAGTGAGAACGCTGGCCCTCAGAGGGATGGATTGTGAGATCTCATATCAATTGGGGCAGAGAATGAAACATTCTTTATAAGGGTGTGGAAATCTCCTCTATTAGACGCGTTTTAAAACCGTACGGCTGACAACGATACGTAATAGGCCAAAGCAGACAATATAGGCTAGTAGTAGACTTGAGATTGAAACTACATTGTGTTCTATCCTTGTTGCTTGCCTGCTTGTTTGTCATACACGTTTTGCAATTGGAATATACCATTCCCATTTAAGATATCTGCCTTGGGTTGATTAGGTTGATTGTGCCACTGAATCTACTATTTTCATTACCTTTGCGGCCATTAGATTACAATCAATCTTGAATATGAAAGAACATTCAACTAGAACGGCCCCTAGGAAATGTTTTCTAGAAGCCAAAGCAGCCATTTCAATGGTTTGACAAGAATAGGGCGATAGAACAGATTCTTTTACGTACTTCGTTGAGTCAGTCGTGTCGTGAATCCAGTGGATCTAGCTCATTTGGTGTCGCTACAAACACCATATTGCCCTCACCCACCTCCACCTTCCCTCTCTTCCCTGTCCTGAGGACTAGGCTGTTTCAACTGTAGGAGAATATCCCATTCATCATGTCGATAATGTCGCTTGGCTCGACCACATGAACTGCAGCTATGTCATCAGCCACCAACAATAGACAAGCCTTGTTTTGTCCTTCAACTGTTGTCTTCCCTTCCTCCAAACCTATGAACTTTGCATCCACATTGTTTTGTTCTGCTCGGACCAAGTCCTCGAGAGAGCTCGGAACCCAAGTTGCAAAGTTCTCCTATCAGATCCTATATACTTAGATTTTTCAAATGAATTATTTGGTTCACAATTAATGATGTGAATATTTTCAGATTATTGTTGACAAAGATGTCGTACAATGTCTTTTTTGTTGGGTCATTGTTCAAATGGGATTTATATATATATTTTTTGAAAAAAGCAAAATCGATTGCCAAGTCTCCTTTCTCATACATTGTATGAGCATATAGCTTTTCGTTTGTTTTTTTTTACATTTTTTTTTTTATATTCGATGGTTAATTTTATAATATTTAAACACTAACTAGGTGGGTGGAGGTTCATAGAATATGGATTTATATCATCATTTTACTTTTTTTTTTATATATATAAATTCTAAAAAGAAACTCTTAAATTTCCTCATCGAACCAAGTAAGTCTTGACTCCTTTCCTTTTTTGGTTCAGGGCATGACTTTGATATCATGTTAAGAATCACTGATTTCCAGTATGGTTTTGGGCTTCCCAAAAGATCTTGTACCAACAGAGATAGTATTATTTTATTATAAACTCATGATTATTCTCTAAATTAGTCGATGTGGGACTTTTATCCAACATTTCAACTAGATTTGGTTTTGGTTTATTCATGTATACTTCTTCTAGAGTATTCAAGGTTCTCAACTAGATTTGGATTTGATACTTGATAGCCTTGACATTTCTCTACTTCTCTTGCAACATGATTACATTACTCATTTCTCACTTCTAAGAGTGAAAATTACTTTGATACCATTTGTTTGGCCCAAAATTACTTTGATACCATTTGTTTGGCCCATGCCATGAGTCAAAATCTTGATTTGGCACTTGGTGACTCGGACATTTTTCTACATCTCCTGCGACATAATTACGTTACCCATTTTTTGTTTATAAGAGTGAAGATTATCTCCATAGATAAACACAAATCTTTTTAGTATATTTTGTCTTCACTCACATGCATTACAAAAAAAAAAAAAAAAAAA